CTTCTATTCTTCTCTTCTATTTCTTCTCCTCTCTCACTCTTCGTCATGCAACTTTTGATCTGTGTACCAAATGGCATGAGCTGTGGTCAACAATAGTGCAATGTACGGGGTATGAGGAATCACAGGCGCTGCAGCCAGACAACAGCAGCAGCCCTCAGTGTTTATTTACACAACAGTTCCATAACATAATAGTCCAGCGCTCCTCCTCATGTAACCATGGCGATCTCAGCTACCCAACAGTGCTTCACCTTTGCTGTATTACCTAACAAGCCAAGGTTACATCCCAAGTGGCACCCTATTCTCTATGGGCCCTGGTCAAAAGTAGTGCACTATATAGGGACTAGGGTGCCATTTGGGATTCAAACCCTACTCAACTCCCTCTCCTCCCTTCCCACTCCAGCCTTACCTAACAACCTGGCACCCTATTCCCTACATAGTAAACTATTTTATTTGGGGACCTATAGGCTCTGGTCAAAAGTAGTGCACTATAAAGGGAAAAGGGTGCCATTTGGGACGTACACAAGCCTTCAACTTTCTGCTATGTAACAGAGTTAAACCAGCCCCACCAGACATCCTGTTAGTTACTGTTGCTGGGCAGGTGTTCCTTCAGGACTAATGTGGAGAACAGAGGTTGTTACTGTGGAGACATGATTGGGGGACGGACGTGGGGGTCTATCTCAGAGTCTGGTATTGGTGTATATTTACAGCTGGGGATAGGGTTAGTGCTGGCTGGTATTGGTGTGTATTTACAGCTGGGGTTAGGGTTAGTGCTGGCTGGTATTGGTGTATATTTACAGCTGGGGATAGGGTTAGTGCTGGCTGGTATTGGTGTGTATTTACAGATGGGGTTAGGGTTAGTCCTGGCTGGTATTGGTGTATATTTACAGCTGGGGATAGGGTTAGTGCTGGCTGGTATTGGTGTGTATTTACAGATGGGGTTAGGGTTAGTCCTGGCTGGTATTGGGTTAGGGTTAGTCCTGGCTGGTATTGGTGTATATTTACAGATGGGGTTAGGGTTAGTCCTGGCTGGTATTGGGTTAGGGTTAGTCCTGGCTGGTATTGGTGTGTATTTACAGCTGGGGTTAAGGTTAGTGCTGGCTGGTATTGGTGTATATTTACAGCTGGGGTTAGGGTTAGTGCTGGCTGGTATTGGTGTATATTTACAGCTGGGGTTAGGGTTAGTGCTGGCTGGTATTGGTGTATATTTACAGCTGGGGTTAGGGTTAGTGCTGGCTGGTATTGGTGTGTATTTACAGCTGGGGTTAGGGTTAGTGATGGCTGGTATTGGTGGGACATCCAGAGGAACCTTCAGCTAGCTTTATACACACACACACACCACACACACACACACACACACACACACACACACACACACACACACACACACACACACACACACACACACACTCACTCACTCATATTTCCACAACCGTCAGGATTAGGTTTCCCACACTCAATGTGAAAGTGATGGTGTGCATTTGAAGTAATGTATATCCTCTAAAATAATGACAACTTCATGTGTTTGAAAAATGAATTCTTGAAGTAGCCAGAACATAGGTCAATGTAGCATTTAGATGAAGAACTGTTTTCTACATTCCCCCACAAACCCCAGAAATGGAACCTGATATTTTTTGCTTCCGACCAGAGCCTAGAATTGACGAGAGAGCTTTTCAAAACGCAGAACAGAGCAGAGCAGAGAAGAGCAGAGCAGAGCAGAACAGGGGATACTGAGAGAGAGTTGGGCTGAGACCCCTCACTAGAACCCTCACTAGACCCCTCACTAGACCCCTCACTAGACCCCTCACTGGACCCCTCACTAGACCCCTCACTAGACCCCTCACTAGACCCCTCACTAGACCCCTCACTGGACCCCTCACTGGACCCCTCACTAGACCCTAAACTGGACCCCTCACTAGACCCCTCACTGGACCCCTCACTAGACCCCTCACTGGACCCCTCACTAGACCCCTCACTAGACCCCTCGCTGGACCCCTCACTAGACCCCTCACTGGACCCCTCACTAGACCCCTCACTGGACCCCTCACTAGACCCCTCACTAGACCCCTCACTAGACCCCTCACTGGACCCCTCACTAGACCCCTCACTAGACCCCTCACTGGACCCCTCACTAGACCCCTCACTAGACCCCTCACTGGACTCACTGGACCCCTCACTAGACCCCTCACTGTACCCCTCACTAGACCCCTCACTAGACCCCTCACTGGACGCCTCACTAGACCCCTCACTAGACCCCTCTCTAGACCCCTCACTGGACCCCTCACTAGACCCCTCACGGACCCCTCACTAGACCCCTCACTAGACCCCTCACTGGACCGCTCACTAGACCCCTCACTAGACCCCTCACTGGACCCCTCACTAGACCCCTCACTAGACCCCTCACTGGACCCCCTCACTGGACCCCTCACTAGACCCCTCACTGGACGCCTCACTAGACCCCTCACTAGACCCCCTCTCTAGACCCCTCACTGGACCCCTCACTAGACCCCTCACTGGACCCCTCAACTAGACCCCCTCTCTAGACCCCTCACTGAACCCCTCACTAGACCCCTCACTGGAACCCCTCACTAGACCCCTCACTGGACCCCTCACTAGACCCCTCACTAGACCCCTCACTGGACCCCTCACTAGACCCCTCACTAGACCCCTCACTGGACCCCTCACTAGACCCCTCACTAGACCCCTCACTGGACCCCTCACTGGACCCCTCACTGGACCCCTCACTAGACCCCTCACTGGACCCCTCACTAGACCCCTCACTAGACCCCTCACTAGACCCCTCACTGGACCCCTCACTAGACCCCTCACTGGACCCCTAACTGGACCCCTCACTAGACCCCTCACTAGACCCCTCACTAGACCCCTCACTGGACCCCTCACTGGACCCCTCACTGGACCCCTCACTAGACCCCTCACTATACCCCTCACTGGACCCCTCACTAGACCCCTCACTGGGACCCCCTCACTAGACCCCTCACTGGACCCCTCACTAGACCCCCTCACTATACCCCTCACTGGACCCCTCACTGGACCCCTCACTGGAACCCTCACTAGACAACTCTCTGGACCCCTCACTGGGACCCCCTCACTAGGACCCCTCGCTGGACCCCTCACTAGACCCCTCACTAGGACCCCTCACTAGACCCCTCACTGGACCCCCCTCACTTGACCCCTCACTAGACCCCTCGCTGGACCCCTCACTAGACCCCTCGCTGGACCTCTCACTAGACCCCTAACTAGGACCCCTCACTGGACCCCTCACTTGGACCCCTCACTAGACCCCTCGCTGGACCCCTCACTAGACCCCTCACTGGACCCCTCACTGGACCCCTCACTAGACCCCTCGCTGGACCCCTCCATAGACCCTCACTAGACCCCTCACTAGACCCCTCACTGGACCCCTCACTTGACCCCTCACTGGACCCCTCACTAGACCCCTCACTAGACCCTCACTAGACCCCTCGCTGGACCCCTCACTAGACCCCCTCGCTGGACCCCTCACTAGACCCCTCACTAGACCCCTCACTAGACCCCTCACTAGACCCCTCACGGACCCCTCACTAGACCCCCACTGGACCCCTCACTAGACCCCTCACTATACCCCTCACTGGACCCCTCACTAGACCCCTCATAGACCCCTCACTGGGACCCCTCACTAGACCCTCACTAGACCCCTCACTAGACCCCTCACTAGACCCCTCACTGGACCCCTCACTGGACCCCTCACTAGACCCCTCACTGGACCCCTCACTAGACCCCTCACTGGACCCCTCACTAGACCCCTCACTAGACCCCTCACTGGAACCCTCACTGGACCCTGTAGAGTCTAGTGAGGGGTCATTCCTGCGTGTGCCTCCAAGCGGGCTGTCATGTGCCTTTTACTGAGGAGTGGATTCCGTCTGGCCACTCTACCATAAAGGCCTGATTGGTGGAGTGCTGCAGAGATGGTTGTCCTTCTGGAAGCTTCTCCCATCTCCACAGAGGAACTCTGGAGCTCTGTCAGAGTGACCATCGGGTTCTTGGTCACCTCCCTGACCATGGCCCTTCTCCCCCAATTGCTCAGTTTGGCCGGGCGGCCAGCTCTAGGAAGAGTCTTGGTGGTTCTAAACTTCTTCCATTTAAGTCTGATGGAGGCCACTGTGTTCTTGGGGACCTTCAATGCTGCAGAAATGTTTTGGTACCCTTCCCCAGATCTGTGCCTCGACACAATCCTGTCTCGGAGCTCTACGGATAATTCCTTCGACCTCATGGCTTGGTTGTTGCTCTGACATGCACTGTCAACTGTGAGACCTTATATAGACAGGTGTGTGCCTTTCCAAATCATGTCCAATCATTTGAATTTACCACAAGTGGACTCCAATCAAGTTGTAGAAGGCTTGAGTGTACAGTACTCTGTAGAGAATAGTGCTGTTGTCATCAGTGTACTCTGTAGAGTATAATACTGTTGTCATCAGTGTACAGTACTCTGTACAGCATAGTGCTATTGTCATCAATGTACTCTGTACAGCATAGTGCTGTTGTCATCAATGTACTCTGTAGAGTATAGTGCTGTTGTCATCAGTGTACTCTGTACAGCATAGTGCTATTGTCATCAATGTACTCTGTACAGCATAGTGCTGTTGTCATCAATGTACTCTGTAGAGTATAGTGCTGTTGTCATCAGTCCACTCTGTACAGTACAGTCCATAAAGGCTGTTTACACAGCCAGCCCAATTCTGGTCTTTTTTTTCTCACTCATTTTATTATCTTATTTTTCACTTTTTACCTATCAGATCAGCTCTGAAAAAAGATCTAATGTGAAAAGATCTGATGTGATTGCTCAAAACACCAATTAGTGGAAAGCAGATCAGAATTGGGCTGCCTGTGTAAACAGTGTCCCGTCTCTCTCTGCAGGTGTGGGATACAGAGTTGGAGCGTACAGCAGAGGAGTGGGCTGAGACGTGTCTGTGGGACCATGGTCCTGCTAGTCTGCTTCCCCAGATAGGACAGAACCTGGGAGCTCACTGGGGGTGGTAAACACGGACATGATTGATTGATTTATTGATTGATCGATGAACAAATTAAACATGAGATTGATGTTTGCTGTATTGACATTTGACACCGCAGCATCAATATTGCATCCCCATTAAGACATATGGTGTAATATATTATATATGCATGTTTGTATTGAGAAATGAAACACAAAACCAATGTACGGTATTGCTGTGAGACCAAACTGTGTCCCAAATGGCACCATATTCCCTATAGGTCCTGGTCAAAAGTAGTGCACTAAATAGGGAACAGGGTACTATCTGAAACGTTATCCTGTTCTTGTAAATGTTTAAACTTGTCAGTGTATGTCTGTGTCCAGGCCACGCCCCCCCACGTCCCATGTGCAGGCCTGGTATGATGAGGTGAGGGACTATTCCTTCCCTTACCCCCAGGAGTGTAACCCCTATTGCCCCTTCAGATGTTCCGGCCCGGTCTGCACCCACTACACACAGGTAGGCAGCAGATCAAACCACTGTCGGGAAATTAGGGAGAAACTTTGAACTCACTGTTCAAAAAACATGCAACTCGTTATTAACTTAACAAACTTCCTCTCGGTGTGTGTGTGTGTGTGTGTTTATTTGTGTGTGTTTGTCAAATCCAATTTTATTGGTCGCATACACATGTTTAGCAGATGTTACTGCGGGTGTCGCGAAATGCTTGAAACAAGGGCGTCCATGTCCTGGTCGACGCCATCTGATCTGTGGTGTGTGTGTGTGTGTGCATTGTGTGTGCATGTGTGCGTGTATGGTGTGTGTGTGTGTGTATGGGTGTTTGTGTGGGTGGTATGGTGTGTGTGCGGTGTGTGTGTGTGGGGGTGGATGTGTTGTGCGTTGGTGTGTATGTTGTGTGCGTGTGTGTGTGGTATGTGTGGTGTGTGTGTGTTGTGCGGGTTCGTGTGTGTGCGGTGTGTGTATGTGTGTGCGTGTGTGTGTGTATGTGTGTGGTGTATGGTGTGTGCGTTGTGTGGTGTATGTGTGTGTGTATGGTGGGTTTTGTGTGGTGTGTTTATGGTGTGTGCGTGTGTGTGTGTAGTGTTGTGTGGAGGTGTGGTGTGGTGTGTGTGTGTATGTGTGTGTTGTGTTGGGTGGGTGGTGTGTGTGTGTGTGTGTGTGTGGTGTGTGGGTGTGGGTGTGTGGTGGGGTGTGGTGGTGTGGTGTGTGGTGGTGTGGTAGTTGTGTGTGTGTGCGTGACAGCAGCAGGATAGGCTGTGCCATCAACATGTGCTACAACATGAACGTCTGGGGTCAGATCTGGGCTAAAGCTGTTAGCCTGGTTGCACTACTCACCCAAGTAGACGACTAACTCTCAGATCAGGGGGTTATCCCTACTCTTCAGCCGGGTCAGGGGGTTATACCCTACTCATTCAGCCATGGGTCGGGGGTTTACTCCCTACTCATTCAGCCAGGGTCAGGGGGTTACTCCCTACTCATTCAGCCAGGGTCAGGGGGTTACTCCCTACTCATTCAGCAGGGTCAGGGGGTTACTCCCTACTCATTCAGACAGGGGGTTACTCCCTACTCATTCAGACAGGGTCAGGGGGTTACTCCCTACTCATTCAGCAGGTCAGGGGGTTATCCCTACTCATTCAGCCAGGGTCAGGGGGTTACTCCCTACTCATTCAGCCAGGGTCAGGGGGTTACTCCCTATCATTCAGCCAGGGTCAGGGGGTTACTCCCTAGTGCATTAGACGGGTGGGGGGTTACTCCGTCGTATTAGCAGGGTAGGGGGTGTTACTCCTCTCATGTGCCAGGGGGTGTTGCTATTTCAGACAGGGTGTTAGTCCTTCATGTAGACGGGTCGGGGGTTTCCTTTGTGTTGCGGGTGGGGGTACCCTACTCATTCAGACAGGGTAGGGGTGTCCTCACTCATTCACCAGGGTCAGGGGTTAGTCGCGCTAATACTTCAGACAGGGTCGCATACTCCCCTCAAGTTAAGCCAGGGTCAGACCCTCAGCCAGGTGGGGTTACTCCCTACTCATTCAGCCCAGGGTCAGGGGGTTACTCCCTACTCATTCAGCCAGGGTCAGGGGGTTACTCCCTACTCATTCAGCCAGGGTCAGGGGGTTACTCCCTACTCATTCAGCCAGGGTCAGGGGGTTACTCCCTACTCATTCAGACAGGGGGTTAGTCCCTACTCATTCAGACAGGGTCAGGGGGTTAGTCCCTACTCATTCAGACAGGGTCAGGGGGTTACTCCCTACTCATTCAGACAGGGTCAGGGGGTTAGTCCCTACTCATTCAGACAGGGTCAGGGGGTTACTCCCTACTCATTCAGACAGGGTCAGGGGGTTACTCCCTACTCATTCAGCCAGGGTCAGGGGGTTACTCCCTACTCATTCAGCCAGGGTCAGGGGGTTACTCCCTACTCATTCAGACAGGGTCAGGGGGTTAGTCCCTACTCATTCAGCCAGGGTCAGGGGGTTAGTCCCTACTCATTCAGACAGGGTCAGGGGGTTACTCCCTACTCATTCAGACAGGGTCAGGGGGTTAGTCCCTACTCATTCAGACAGGGTCAGGGGGTTACTCCCTACTCATTCAGCCAGGGTCAGGGGGTTACTCCCTACTCATTCAGCAGGGTCAGGGGTCTCCAGGGGGGTTACTCCCTACTCATTCAGACAGGGTCAGGGGGTTACTCCCTAGTCATTCAGACAGGGTCAGGGGGTTAGTCCCTAGTCATTCAGACAGGGTCAGGGGGTTACTCCCTACTCATTCAGACAGGGTCAGGGGGTTACTCCCTACTCATTCTGTGGAGAGGAGATGATGAGAGGAGGATAGAAGAGGGGAGAGGAGAGGAGTAAAGGAAGCCACAACAGACTAACCCTTGATCTCTGACCTGTCACCTCAGGGGGAACTGGTGGGGTCATGCCCCCTACAAACACGGCACCCCCTGCTCCGCCTGCCCCCCCAGCTACGGAGGAGGATGCAAGGACAACCTCTGCTACAAAGGTTTGTGTGGTGTTAGGTGTGTTTGTGGAGTTATGGTGTGGATAGGCTTGGAACACACTGCAAGACCTATGTCATGTTTAAACAAATACTTTTTTTTCTCCTATTCCCTTTATAGGGTAAAAGAAGTGCCCTACATGGGGAATAGGGTGTCATTTGGGACATGACCTCAGTATCAGAGCTACAGAAACGTTTCAAAGTGTAAAGCTGAAACTGAAACGTATTACCTCTATCTCCGAAACGGAAAAATATTACTCCTATCTCTGAAATTGAAACGTCATTACCCCGTCTCTAAAGCTGAAACGTATTACCCCTATATCTGAAACTGAAACGTATTACCCCTATCTCTGAAATTGAAAAGTATTACCCCTATCTATGAAAATGAAACATTTTACCCCATATCTGAAATTGAAACGTTTTACCTCGTCTCTGAAACTGAAAGAATTACCGCTATCTCTGAAACTGAAAGGTATTACCTCTATCTCTGAAACTGAAAGGTATTACCCCATATCTTAAAACTGAAACATTTTACCCCATCTCTGAAACTGAAACGTATTACTTCTATCTCTGAAATTGAAACGTTATTACACCATCTCTGAAATTGAAACATTTTATCCCTATCTCTGAAACTGAAACGTTTTACTCCTGTCTCTGAAACTGAAATGTATTACTTCTGTCTCTGAAACTGAAACGTATTACCCATATCTCTGAAACTGAAATGTATTACTCCTCTCTCTCTCTCCAGACGAAGGTACAGAGTCACAGAGACCTCAGGAGGAAACAGAGGAAAACAATTCCATCGAACCTGAGGCCCCCCAGAGCCCCCAGAAGCCACGCGCCAGGTCCCCCCAGCCAAAGCTCCCCCCGCTGGCACAGACCCCCACCCCCCCCACCACCCCCACCACCAGAGGAGCGGGAGAGGAACAAGGTGGTCAATACACAGCAGATGTGTAAGAGGCCATTTAACTGGTTATTCTGGATTCAGTTGCATCTCTAAATGGGGGTTACAGGTTCTGGTTTTTGGGGTTGGTGTGGAGTGGAGTGTGGGAGGAGGAGTGCATTGGGGGGGAGGGTGGGAGGAGGAGTGCAGGGGGTAGGGAGGGTGGGAGGAGGGAGTGCATGGGGGGAGGGTGGGAGGAGGAGTGCAGGGGGGGGGGGGAGGAGGAGTGCAGGGGAGGGAGGGTGGGAGGAGGAGTGCAGGGGAGGGAGGGTGGGAGGAGGAGTGCAGGGAGGGAGGGTGGGAGGAGGAGGGCAGGGGAGGGAGGGTGGGAGGAGGAGTGCAGGGGAGGGAGGGTGGGAGGAGGAGTGCAGGGGGAGGGGGGGGAGGAGTGCAGGGGTAGGGAGGGGGGAGGAGGTGCAGGGGTAGGGAGGGTTGGGAGGAGGAGTGCAGGGTAGGGAGGGTGGGAGGAGGAGTGCAAGGGGTAGGGAGGGTGGGAGGAGGAGTGCAGGGGTAGGGAGGGTGGGAGGAGGAGTGCAGGGGAGGGAGGGTGGGAGGAGGAGTGCAGGGGAGGGAGGGTGGGAGAGAGGGGAGGGAGGTGGAGGAGAGGGGGGGGGAGGTGGGGGGTGCAGGGGGAGGGTGGGAGGAGGAGTGCAGGGAGGGAGGGTGGGAGGAGGAGTGCAGGGTAGGGAGGGTGGGAGGAGGAGTGCAGGGGGAGGGTGGGTGGGGAGTGCAGGGTAGGAGGGTGGGAGGAGGAGTGCAGGGTAGGGAGGGTGGGAGGAGGAGTGCAGGGGTAGGGAGGGTGGGAGGAGGAGTGCAGGGGTAGGGAGGGTGGGAGGAGGAGTTTCAAACCGAGGCTATGGAACTGTGTGACAGAGACACAGGGGGAGGCAAGCGAGGGCTCTAGTGCGTTTCAGAAGGCGAGGACTCCATGCCCCTCTGCCAGGCCTCCAATGTGCATTCACCAACGAGCTACAACTTCTGATAAGGACAAAAAAGGACTCTGTCATCTCTGCTTTCTATTTTATGGAGTCTTGGTGAAATGCCTCTATTCCTGATGCCGCTGTGGATCTAGCCGGCTTCCAGCTGAACCGGGCCGATGGTGTCCTGGCTTCCAGCCGTACTGGGCTGATGGTGTCCCGGCTTCCAGCTGTACTGGGCTGATGTTGACCCGGATCCAACTGTACTGGGCTGATGGGGTCCTGGCTTTCAGCTGTACTGGGCTGATGTTGACCCGGATCCAACGGTACTGGGCTGAATGGGGTCCTGGCTTCCAGCTGTACTGGGCTGATGGGGTCCCGGCTTCCAGCTGTACTGGGCTGAAGGGGTCCTGGCTTCCAGCTGTACTGGGCTGATGGTGTCCTGGCTTCCAGCTGTACTGGGCTGAAGGGGTCCTGGCTTCCAGCTGTACTGGGCTGATGGGGTCCCGGCTTCCAGCTGTACTGGGCTGATGGGGTCCCGGCTTCCAGCTGTACTGGGCTGATGGTGTCCTGGCTTCCAGCTGTACTGGGCTGATGGGGTCCCGGCTTCCAGCTGTACTGGGCTGATGGGGTCCCGGCTTCCAGCTGTACTGGGCTGAAGGGGTCCCGGAACAGTCCAATAAATCCAAAGGAGGTGGTGTTTCTACCAGTGGAGGCTCCTCAGAGGAGGAACGGGAGGACCATCCTCCTCAGTGAATTTCATTTTTAGATAAAACTATACTAAATATATTCATGTCACCAAATGTTTTGCAATGAAGGTCTACAGTAGCCTAAACAGCAGTCTCTGGGGTAGCACCATAGTGCAGCCGGAGGACAGCTAGTTTGCGTCCACTTCTGGTTACATTGACTTCAATAGAAAGACCTCAAAGACCTCTTCATCACGGTTGACAACTCCACAGTGTCACCCTCCCAGAGTGCAAAGAACCTTGGCGTGACCCTGGACAACACCCTGTCGTTCTCTGCAAACATCAAAGCAGTGACCTGCTCCTGCAGGTTCATGCTCTACGACATCCGTAGAGTACGCCTCTACCTCACAAAGGAAGCGGCGCAGATCCTAATCCAGGCACTTGTCCTCTCCCGTCTGGACTACTGCAACTCACTGTTGGCTGGGCTCCCCGCTTGTGACATCAAACCCCTGAAGCTTATCTATAACGCAGCAGCCCATCTGGTTTTCAACCTTCCCAAGTTCTCTCATGTCACCCCGCTCCTACCCACACTCCACTGGCTTCCAGTTGAAGCTCGCATCTGCTACAAGACCATGGTTCTAACCTATGGAACAGCAAGAGGAACTGCCACTCCCTACCTTCAGGCTATGCTCAAACACTACACCCCAACCCGAGTACTCCGTTCTGTCACCTCAGGTCTCTTGCCCCTCCAACCCCTACGGGAGGGCAGCTCCCGCTCAGCCCAGTCCAAGCTCTTCTCTGTCCTGGCACCCCAATGGTGGAAAAACAGCTTCCCCCTGAAGCTAGGACAGCAGAGTACCTGCCCATCTTCCGAAAACACCTGAAACCCTACCTCTTCAAACAGTATTTTAAATAATCCTCCTCCTCACCTAAAACCGACATAAAAAAGCCAGACTACGGTTTACAACTGCACATGGGGACAAAGATCGTACTTTTTGGAGAAATGTCCTCTGGTCTGACGAAACAAAAATAGAACTGTTTGGCCATAATGACCATCGTTATGTTTGGAGGAAAAAGGGGGACGCTTGCAAGCCGAAGAACAAATGTGAACGAAGTGCAAATAGTCTGGGTAGCCATGATTAGCTGTTCAGGAGTCTTATGGCTTGGGGGTAGAAGCTGTTGAGAAGCCTTTTGGACCTAGACTTGGCGCTCCGGTACCGCTTGCCGTGCGGTATCAGAGAGAACAGTCTATGATTAGGGTGGCTTGAGTCTTTGACAATTTTTAGGGCCTTCCTCTGACACCGCCTGGTATAGAGGTCCTGGATGGCAGGAAGCTTGACCCCAGTGATGTACTGGGCCGTACACACTACCCTCTGTGGTGCCTTGCGGTCGAAGGCCGAGCAGTTGCCATTCCAGGCGGTGATGCAACCAGTCAGGATGCTCTCGATGGTGCAGCTGTATAACTTTTTGAGGATCTGAGGACCCATGCCAAATCTTATCAGTCTCCTGAGGGGGAATAGGTTTTGTCGTGCCTTCTTCACGACTGTCTTGCTGTGTTTGGACCATGATAGTTCATTGGTGATGTGGACACCAAGGAACTTGAAGCTCTCAACCTGTTCCACTACAGCCCCGTCGATGAGAATGGGGGCATGCTCAGTCCTCTTTTTTGTCCTGTAGTCCACAATCATCTCCTTTGTCTTGATAACGTTGAGGGAGAGGTTGTTATCCTGGCATCTCATCGTTGTCGGTGATCAGGCCTACCACTGTTGGGTCGTCTGCAAACTTCATGATGGTGTTGGAGTCGTGCCTGACCATGCAGTCATGAGTGAACAGGGAATACAGGAGGGGACTGAGCACGCACCCCTGAGGGGCCCCCGTGTTGAGGATCAGCGTGGCAGACGTATTGTTACCTACCCTTACCACCTGGGGGTGGCCCGTCAGGAACTCTAGGATCCAGTTGCAGAAGGAGGTGTTTAGTTCCAGGATCCTTAGCTTAGTGATGAGCTTTGAGGGCACTATGGTGTTGAACACTGAGCTGTAGTCAATGAATAGCATTCTCACATAGGTGTTCCTCTTGTCCATGTGGGAAAGGGCAGTGTGGAGTGCAATAGAGATTGCATCATCTGTGGATCTGTTGGGGCAGTATGCAACTTAGAGTGGGTCTAGGGTTTCTGGGATAATGGTGTTGATGTGAGCCATGACCAGCCTTTCAAAGCATTTCATGGCTACAGACGTGAGTGCTATGGGTCGGTAGTCATTTAGGCAGGTTATCTTAGTGTCCTTGGGCACAGGGACTATGGTGGTCTGCTTGAAACATGTTGGTATTACAGACTCAGTCAGGGACATGTTGAAAATGTCAGTGAAGACACTTGCCAGTTGGTCAGCACATGCTCGGAGTACACGTCCTGGTAATCCGTCTTGCCCTGCGGCCTTGTGAATGTTGACCTGCTTAAAAGTCTTACTCACATCGGCTACGGAGAGCGTGATCACATCGTCATCCGGAACAGCTGATGCTCTCATGCATGCTTCAGTGTTGCTTGCCTCGAAGCAAGCATAGAAGTGATTTAATTCGTCTGGTAAGCTTGTGTCACTGGGCAGTTTGCGGCTGTGCTTCCCTTTGTAGTCTGTAATAGTTTTCAAGCCCTGCCACATCCGACGAGAGTCAGAGCTGTGCAGTACGATTATCAAACGTATACCCACTGTAAATCAACCGTATACCTACTGTATATCAACCGTATACCCACTGTACATCAACCGTATAACTACTGTATATCAAACGTATACCTACTGTATATCAACCGTATACCCACTATATATCAACCGTATACCCACTGTATATCAACCGTATACCTACTGCATATCAACCGTAAACCTACTGCATATCAACCGTATACCTACTGCATATCAACCGTATACCTACTGTATATCAACCGTATACCCACTGTATATCAACCATATACCTACTGCATATCAACCGTATACCTACTGCATATCAACCGTATACCTACTGTATATCAACCGTATACCTACTGTATATCAACCGTATACCCACTGTATATCAACCGTAAACCTACTGTACATTTGTATATCTGCTCATGTTCTTACAGCTCTGTGCTCACTCTCCCTAGTCGTATATAATGTATATAAACGTTGTTTAAACTATGTGGTCTGTATTCTGTCTCTAAATGTTGTGTATTACTAGCAGGACCATATCACCAAATAAAATTGTACTTGACGAATAAAGGTGATTCTGATTCTGAAAGGGCAGATTTGGGACGCGCACAGGAAATCCATCCAAAACCCTATCCATTCATGTCCTGCAGTAAACATTCCCGGTTGCTAGCTAGATGGAGCTCGCGGAGGATATTTCAATGAGTGAATTTCAAAGGAGTAGTGAGTAGTTTGCATGCGCCATGACGTTAGCGTTACAAGCTTACAACCACTGACTAGCTGTGGCAAAAATGTGCCTAGCTATCTGTGTCTGCAATGTGTCTGCCTCTGTCATGTTTCAGAGGGAATTACTATCAAGCCCCGCCTACCTAAACTTGTGATTTGTTGGGAAAGTTGTCTGTCTGAAGAGCACCCTCCCCCGAATTGGCCAAGAAAATGGAAAGTGATTCCCATACCTAGTGCTGTTGCCCCATACCTAGTGCTGTTGCCCCATACCTAGTGCTGTTGCCCCATACCTAGTGCTGTTGCCCCATACCTAGTGCTGTTGCCCCATACCTAGTGCTGTTGCCCCATACCTAGTGCTGTTGCCCCCATACCTAGTGCTGTTGCCCCATACCTAGTGCTGTTGCCCCATACCTAGTGCTGTTGCCCCATACCTAGTGCTGTTGCCCCATACCTAGTGCTGTTGCCCCATACCTAGTGCTGTTGCCCTAGAGACTACCTAGACACTGATCGTGGGTCAGTTGAGCATTTCCCCCTAATAGTTATGGTTATGATTGGGGGAGGGGAAGCAGATCCTAGATCTGTACCCAGGGGAACTTCACCTCGTGGGCATAGCAACCCCTCACTAGCCTACATGTTGTCTCCTGTAGTACTGGTTCTTTAACACACAGACAGGCAGATTAAAGCATTGTGTGTGTTCTGTGTTTGCTACAGATGTTAATAGCTAGTTAGCTCGACAGTTCAGTGTGTGTTCTGTGTGCTACAGATGCGAATAGCTAGTTAGCTCGACAGTTCAGCGTGTGTTCTGTGTGCTACAGACGTGAATAGCTAGTTAGCTCGACAGTTCAGTGTGTGTTCTGTGTGCTACAGACGTGAATAGCTAGTTAGCTTGACAGTTCAGTGTGTGTTCTGTGTGCTACAGATGCGAATAGCTAGTTAGCTCGACAGCTCAGCATGTGTTCTGTGTGCTACAGATGCGAATAGCTAGTTAGCTCGACAGTTCAGCGTGTCTTCTGTGTGCTACAGACGTGAATAGCTAGTTAGCTTGACAGCTGTGTGTGTTCTGTGTTGCAGCTCAGCTTGTGACCTGTGACACTAAGCTACGAGATCAGTGCAAAGGAACCACGTGCAACAGGTAAAGAAAAAAACACAACCACACACACACACATCGTCTCAAATCAGCTGTCCATGTCTGTGTTACCACTGAGAAATAAAGACCCATTAAGTGATTGAAGAGCTCCCCATCCAACCCCTTCACAGAGAACACAATTACCTCCCTGATAGACTGGTCACCTTCACAGAGAACACAATGCCTCCCTGATAGACTGGTCCCCTTCACAGAGAACACAATGCCTCCCTGATAGACTGGTCCCCTTCACAGAGAACACAATGGCCTCCCTGATAGACTGGCTGAATCCTTTGACTGCTTCCTTCTTCACCATAGAAATAGCATTAATAGAACAGACGCTTTCAAGTTCCTATTCAAGTCAAACTTCTGCAGGGTTGGCATCAATTCGAATGAAAGTCAGTCACTTCAGGAAGTACACTGAAATTCTAATTCAATCATTTAAAAAAAAGGGCTTTTATTTTCAATGACTTCTCAATAAACCAAAAATTTACTTAAATAGAAATTGACCCCAACCCTAATGCATTTGTGATGGGTGGTGATTACATGATCTATGTTCTCCCCAGGTACGAGTGTCCTGCCGGCTGTCTAGACTCCACAGGGAAGGTGGTTGGGACAGTACACTATGAGATGGTGATTACATCATCATACATTATCAAGCTGTGTCCCAAATTACACCCTACTGCCTATGGGCCCTGGTCAAAAGTACTGTAGGGAACATGGTGCCATTTGGGACATAGCCTAAGTCTTATACTGAATAGGTTAATCAAAATGCAGATAGAAAATACTTAGCTAATGCATTGTAAATAAAGCTGCATAATGAATTTGAATATACAATGTACTAACTTTACACTGTAAACTTTACAGCAGTCCAGTATCTGCCGTGCTGGCATCCACTCTGGAGTGGTAGATAAGGATGGAGGGTGGCTGGACGTCACCAGACAAGGCAGGAAGGACTTCTTCATCAAGTCCAACAAGAATGGAATTCAGTCTCTAGGGTATGGAAGCGTAATCTATCTTGCAAAACACCATCTCTTTGCCCAACATATCTCGTTGCCCTCTTGACAACCACTGACAAAAAAGCTAGCAATTCGATGGCGCGGGACGGGTGAAGCCATTTCAAGCTGAGGACTGGTTACACATCAGCTGAGGGGGAGGACGGCAAATAATAACGAATGGAACGGAGCCAATGGAATGGCATCAAACAAATGGAAACCATGTGTTTGGTGTATTTGATACCATTACACATATTCCGCTCCAGCCATTACCACAAGCTGGCACACACCCAGACACGTTTGTAGAGGTGCTGAATAGCGGAGAGTAAACTGTAGAAAAAATAATGTACGAAAGTTGGACACTATACATGCTCCCGAGTGGTGCAGTGGTCTAAGGCATTGCATCGCAGTGCTAACTGTGCCGCTAGAGATCCTGGTTCGAATCCAGGCTCTGTCGTAGCCGGCCGCGACCGGGAGACCCATGGGGCGGCGCACAATTGGCCAAGTGTCGTCCAGGGTAAGGGAGGGAATGGCCGGCAGGGATGTAGAGCATGGTGTTTGCAACACCAGGGTTGTGGGTTTGATTCCCGGGGGGGGGGGGCAGCATAAGAAATAATGTATGCACTCACTAACTGTAAGTTGCTCTGGATAAGAGCATCTGCTAAATGACTAAAATGTACAATGCAGTAGGGTTGAAAACTTTCAATCATTTCCCTGGTTATCCTGGAACCATAAAACTTCTTAGTTCAGTGGACATGTTTGGGATACTCAGGGCTGGTCTTAAGCTTTTGGCTGGATGCTTTTTTATTATTTTGGAGTATTTCTGCTCTGTTGAAAAATAACGTTTTATCTTAAGTGGGGCTTCCTGTCTGGAGAAAGAGTGAACAGAGGAATAAAAATGTGTAGGGATGCAAAACTCTGGTGATTTACCCAGAATTCCAAAGTTTTACAGAAAACCTGGACGGAGGATTACGGATTTCATGCTTATTTCTTTCTGATTCTGGGAAACTTCCAACCAGGATCCTGGGAATTTTGGAAAAGTTACCGGAATTTTGGAATCCTAAGATTGTGTGTTGACTTTACAGGAAGTATCAGAGCGCCAACGCTTTCATAATCTCCAAAGTAACAGGTCAGTTACAATACAACAACCATGGAATTAACTGAATTAGATGTATTATGTTATGTCCTGTTGAGATCTCTTTGGGCCTAATATAGCCTTCTTCCTACCTTCCAGTGAAAGCTATCACCTGTGAGACCACGGTGGCTCAGATGTGTTCATATCAAAAACTTGTAAAGCACTGTCCAAGGTACGACCATGACACTCTCACTGTCTCGCTCTCTCTCTTTCTCTGATGCTCTCTCTCAGTCTGATGCTCTCTCTCTCTCTCTGATGCTCTCTCTCTCTCTCTCTCTCTCTCTCTCTGTCTCTCTCTCTCTCTCTCTCTCTCTCTCTCTGAAAAGCAAGGCTATTCTCACTGAGTCTGTACATAGTCAAAGATTTTCTTAATTTTAGGTCAGTCACAGTGGTCAGGTATTCTGCCACTGTGTACTCTCTGTTTAGGGCCAGATACCATTCCAATTTGCTTAGCTTTTTGGTTAATTCTTTCCACTGTGTCAAATAGTTATATTTTTGCTTTCTCATAATTTAGTCTATTTGTGTTACTGGCCTGGGGCTCTGTTTGTGTTTGTGAACCAGCTGGCTGAGGGGTTGCTTCTCTAGGTTCATCTCTCTGTAGGTGTGGGCTTTTTGATAGAATGTGTGAGCATCGCTTCGTTTTAGGTGGTTGTAGAATTTTCTGTATTTTGATAACTAGCAGGTATAGTCCTAATTCTGCTCTGCATGCATTGTTTGGGGTTTTGCGTTGTACGCAGAGTACATTTTTACAGAATTCTTGTGAATTATTGGTTGGTGAGTGGAATTCATACCTCACAACCATAAAGAGCAGTGGGGTTCTATAAATTATTGAAGTATTTTTAGCCAGATCCTAATTGGGATGTCGAGTTTTAAAGCACCAGATCATCAGCAAACAGTGTACATTTGATTTCCGAGTCCAGTGGGGTGAGGCTGGGTGCTGCAGACTGTTCTTGTGCCCTCGCCAGTTCATTGATATATATTTTGAAGAGGGTGGGGCTTAAGCGACATCCCTGTCTCACCCCACTGCCCTGATGAAAATAAATCTGTGTGTTTATTGCCAATTGTAACTGCACACTTGTTGTGTGTGTACATTGATTTTGTGAAGTCATACCCATTCCTTTAATTTGTATAGCAGACCCTCATGCCAAATTGAGTCAAAACTCATTTGAAATCAACAAAGCATGAGAAGACTTTGCTTTGGTTTTTGTTTTGTTTGTTTGTCAATAAGGGTGTGCAGGGTGAATACATGGTCTGTCGTACAGTATTTTGGTATGAAGCCAATTTGACATTTGCTCAGCACATTTTTTTCACTGAGGAGTCTGCTGATTTTTCAAAGATTGCTGTTGACACTGATTGGGATCAAATTTGTGGATTAGGGCGTGACCAGACCTTGGTTCCAATTGTTGGGGAAGATCCCAGAGCTGAGGATGATAATGTTAAAGAGTTTAAAAATAGCCAATTCAAATTTGTGTTCTGTATATTTTATCATTTTGTTTAGTATACCATCAACACCACAGGACTTTTTGGGTTGGAGGGGTTTGTATTTTGTCATGTAGCTCATCCAATGAAATTGGAGAATCTGGTTGTCTTTAATAACTAACTCTAAGTTTTGTAAATTATCATGTTTTTAATCTTGGTTCTTTGTTATATGGCCGAAAAGGTTGGAGAAGTGGTTTATCCATTAATCTCCATTTTGGATAGATAGCTCTTTGTGTTGTTGTTTGTTTAGTGTGTTCCAATTTTCCCAGAAGTGATTAGATTCAATCACATTGAGATACTGTTCCTTTTCTCTTAGTGTATCTCTGTACTGTTTCAATGTTTCCCCATAGTGAAGGCGTAGGTTCTGGTTTTCTGAGTCTCTGTGTTTTTGTTTGGAAAGGTTTCTCAATTTCTTTCTAAGGTGTTTGCATTCATGTTGTTAGTTTTCTTAGGTTTACTGCTTGAATTAATATTTGATACGTTAGCCGATATTGCTAGTCCATATATGTATATATTCTTAAATTCCATTCCTGACTTAGATTTGTGTGTATTGGGTGTATGTTGTGAAATTGTTAGATATTACTTGTTAGATGTTACTGCACTGTTGGAGCTAGAAGCACAAGCATTTCGCTACACCCGCAATAACATCTGCTAAACACGTGTATGTGACAGATAATATATGATTTAATTTGATTTGATAGGGCAAATATACTGTTCGTGCTTCCTACTTCTAAGTTTACACCTTCACTATTGCAGTGAAACTTTTTGTCCAGGAAGTTGTCTAGGAGGGATTGGATTTGTTGTTGGCCAATAGTTTTTTGGTACGTTTCTACAGTACCCTCCTTCCATATAGAGCATTTCTTAACAGCATGCAGTTTGTTCGGCTTCGATGCTTAATGGTTGAGTATTGCTCATGTTCACGAACATTTTGATTTTGCTGTTGTCTGATAGGGGTGTCAGTAGGCTGACTGTGAACGCCCTGAGAGACTCTGGGTTGATGTCGGTGATAAAGTAGTCTACAGTGCTACTGTCAAGGGATGAGCTATAGGTGTACCTACCGTAGGAGTCCCCTCGAAGCCTACCATTGACTATGTACAGACCCAGTGTAAGACAGAGCTGCAGGAGTTGTGACCTGTTTTTGTTGGTTGTTTTGTCGTAGTTGTGCCTAGGGGGTCATATTTGGGAAGGGAATGCTGTCACCTCCAGGTAGGTGTTTGTCCCCCTGTGTGCTGAGAGTGTCAGGTTCTTGTCTAGTTCTGGCGTTTAGGTCCCCACAGACTAGTACATGTCCCTGGGCCTGGAAATGGTTGATCTCCCCCTCTAGGATGGAGAATAAATCTTCATTAAAGTATGTGGATTGTATAGGGGGGATAAACAGTAGGTAGCACACAGGAAGACATTATTTTCTGTTGAGATAATTTCCTCATTTATTTCTATGGTCTGATCTGAGGGGACCTATACAGGTTGTGGGCATGGTCGCTCCGAGGCTCTCTCTCTTTCATCTACCCCCCTCCATCTCTCAACACTACTCCTTTATACAGCAAATACGATTGTTTACACATTAAACTACAATGATCCTGTCTGTTTTCAGGTTATATTGCCCCCGGAACTGCATGGAAGAGAACCCTAACATATCACGGGTAATCGGAACCAGAATCTATTCAGATGTAAGTGACTCAGCTCAAAGGCAAATCTGGTGTGTTCTTAGAATCTCTGATGTTTCATGATGTGAAATCTCTATTCTGTGTTCTCCCTCCTCTCTCCTCTCTCCTCC